ATGAAGTGGGTTTTAGCCCACGAAAGCTTATGCTCAAATAAATTTGTTAGTCTCTAAGGTGCCACAAGTACTCCTGTTCTTTTTGCTGATACAGACTAACACGGGTGCTACTCTGAAACCAGCCAGTAACAGTCTTTCAGCACTAGAGTGTAAGCACTGGTCTCTTGTTAGCAGCTCCCAGGATTGGTGGCTAAGAAGTGTGATCTGCTTCCTTCCTGTGTTATGACCCCTTCCAGATTCACGGCTGAAACCCCAGGCCAGGGGGTTCGGAGGGAGAAGGAAGAAAGAGGCAGAACTGAGACCCTGCCTAGCTAAGCACCAGAACTGGTTACCAAGGAATCCCAGTCATGGGCTGTTTTTTCAGAACAGGATAGACAGGCACCCACCCAGGCATGATCTAGGTACAGGTTGTCCTGCCTCAGCAGGGGATGGGGGAATGGACTAGGTGTCCTCGGGGATCTCTCCAGGCCCACATTTCTTTGCATGCTGCTGGCTGTCGGGCTGTGGGGACCTGGCACAGTCAGAGACCTGGGTACGTGGGAAAGCGTTAGCAGTTACAAAGGGGGGGGGGAGGCTGCGACCCCTCCCCCCAGCGGTGTGACTGAAGAGGGGGAACAATAGGTAAGTCTGGAGAACGACGCTCCCTCACTCTCCGCTCTGCTAGAACTAGTTCCGAGGGGGAGGACTCGGAGGAGGGATTCACACTCGCTGCAATCAAGTCTAAAATAGTTCCTCTTTGTTCACCAGCGGCAGAGACTGTCTATGACCTGTGTCCTTCCGCTGTCGCTCGGCCTCCTCCCCCACTCCCCGCCCCCTGTCCGGAGAGCGGCCGTGCAGCGCAGGCGGGGCCCAGCTGGGGCGGGGGGTGAGGCTCTTTGTTTTTTCCCACAATGCACTAGCTTCTCCTCCGCGGGAAACAAAAATGGCGAACGGCTGCGGCGGAGCCGGGCAGTGTGTGAATCGGCTCTGACCCTCCCCCACTCTCCGCCCGGCGAGGGCTGTCTGGGGGCGCTGCGCACGGAGGGCCCGGCCCGGCCGCAGAGAGGCTCTGGGGGGAGGGTGCTGAGTCCGCTGATTTCCCTGCATGAGGCGGTTGGCACCACTGGAGAGACCGAATGAGGTGAGGGAGGCCGGGCTCTCCGCGGTGGGGGCGGGCGGCCGCCCCGGAGTCTGTGGGGTGGGCTGTTAGGACCCCTCACCCGCCCCCCCAATAGAGGGCTCCCCGAAAGGGGGCGGGGAGGGTCGAGCCCCAGCCCGGCGGGGAAACCCAGCCCAGTCCTCCAGCCGCTCTTCTCCCTTCCCCCAGTGCTGTACTCATTGTGGGCACATCTAGGTCTTGTGGGGCATATTTAGGGCCAGAGGACTTCAGAAATAAGGGCTGTCTCCGAAGCTGACTATAACAGGCAGATGATAAGGGGATTTGCAAGTGCCCTGTGGAGACCAAACAAAGGGGCGAACAGGAATAGGGTCACATCACCATCTTGGGGTTCTGGAGGGAATCTGGGTGGTGTGGGGTGTAGTTGGGTGTTTAGATGGTGGCTTTCCTTATTAGACAACTGTATCTGACTATTGACAAACCTGTTAAAGTATGAAAAGATAAATCAACACACAGGGAGAGAGGGCAGGCTTATTTGAAGGACTATTCACTTTTTGTGCAGATAATGTACCTTTTACAATAGCACCTTTCATCTCAAAGATGGATGAATTCTAACAAATTTAATATGTTGTGTTGTACTGAGAAACTTTAGATGTTTCTTCCCCAAAACTATGGAAACTGGTGGTGGTTAGTGTAACTAAAAAGCCATCACAACACCCCCTTTCCTAGCACTTGAATCACAAAAGAAAATGGGTTGATGTTTTCCTTGTTTTAATAGGAGGTAACAAGATGCTTCTTTATACTTCCAAATTGAGACCAGTGTCCATTTGGCAACATTTTAAAGGATTGGAGTTACACTTAACCAGTTGGAGCGTTTTGGATACAATTTGAATGAAAAAGCCTAAATAAAATTATAATTACAACATTCTTTCTTTAGGATAATATGTATCCCATGAGTTTCTGAAAATTTGGCCCTGTTTATAATTTTAAAAATGTCAAAGCGTGTTAGCAATGCATTTAAAACATGATCTGTCTTTGCCCATAAACAGGGGAGACGGGCCGACTATGCAGGGGGAAATGGTGACAATAACTATACACAAACTAATGTCAAAAACACCTAAGTAATCAATAGAGAAAATAGTTTCTTCTAATATTTATTACATGTAACTATAGTAGATGAAAATGTCGACAGAAATGATTTGTTGTCTATCCCTTTAAAACAGAGATTTCAGGTTACAATTCAGTTCAAAGGATTTGTTGAAGATGAAAGATTTAAAAAGCCTGAGTAGTGCAATGTTGGAGTATAGGCTAATAAATTGACACCATTTCAATTTGTATGAAGAGAGAACTGGAGAGAGAATAAGGGGAAACAAAGAGATTGAGAGAGCGAAAGAAAGGGAAATGAGCAGAATGAGGCAGTGAAAGGGGGGAGGGGGATATCTGTAAGGAGCTGCAAGCTTGTGAGATGTGAACCTTCATTAAGACTGTTCCGGAAGGAGTATTTTTGGTGTAGTGATGTTTTGTGTGGCCCCACAGGTTTGGGAGAACAGGGCTATGCTGCTTCTCCTTGATAATAGGTCTTCCATTGTGCTAAATCACATTTCCACTCTGTTTCTGAAAGGTTTGTTTAATCTGGCTGGCGTCCAGTAAAATATGTGGAATATTTTTTTGCTAAACTTGATGTGTAACAAGATGTACATTATACACTACACCATTTTTAATTCCAAAAGTTATCCTAGAAATATTAAGTTCTTTTCAGCTTTCCCCGGATTGGGAACAGCCCCTGCCCAGTGTGTGAGAGAAGAATAGTAGATAGCATTTGGCTATTAGTAGCATTGGCTACTAAAGGGTGGTCATCCATATTCTTGGGAGACATTTGAGTGGGGAGGTGTTACTGTTTTGGGTGCATCTGAGAATGGCTTTAAAGAGTGTTTTAATCACACTTGGTCTGGTGGGTTTTTTTGTTTTTTGTTTTGGTGAAAAAAGCATTAAAAGTAACACTTGATATTATGTAACAGTTTAGATTAAATTTTTCATTTGTTTGCATACTTAACAGCACTTTGTATTGCTAACTTCCTTAGGTAGCCAGTTTCACCTTGTTTGTGTGGGCCTTCCTCTAGGGAAGGGAGAGAGAAATGTCTTGAAAAAGCAAGGAGGAGGATTGTAAAACCACAAATATTGCCAGAGGGTCCCTGGCCCAGCGTAATACCTGAAACAACTTTTAACGTTTTGAAAAGAACTAGATTTCAAGCTGACAGCATCACTTCAGAAACGGATCATCCTATTGAAAAATACAGGTGGTATTTGTCAGGGAAGTTGAACTTAACCTTGAGGGAAGAAAATTAAGGATGGATCCTTTCTCAGTCAGTTCTGACACATTTCTAGTGTTAAATGACTTCCAAAGGTGTTGCGTCTGACGAAGTGGGTATTCACCCACGAAAGCTTATGCTCCAATACATCTGTTAGTCTTTAAGGTGCCACAGGACTCTTTGTTGCTTTTTACAGATCCAGACTAACAAGGCTACCCCTCTGATACTTTCCAAGGTCACTTTTTCTTCTGCTTCTCAGGTGTAGATTATTCCATAGAAAGAAACTTGGGGAAGATAAATTGCTCTTTTAAGGGTCACTCCTTTTTTAGGATGGCCTATGAGGAAATGAAGACTGAGTTCTCTTTATGGTTTTTTTTTTTTTTTTTTTTTTAAAAGATCGAGGGTAGATTTCTGTTTCATAGATAGGCAAAGTTATGCCCTTTTTTCAATACAACTCAAATGGAAGTGTCTTGGACCTCGTGACATACTTGCCCACCCTCAAGTATTTGTTTCCGGCAGTACTAACAACGTGCTAGGTACTGCACAAACACAAAAGACCATCCTTAACTCAAGGAGTCTATACACTAAATAACATTTGAGACAAAGGATTTAGGGAAGGGAAACAAACAAGGTGAGACTTGTTAATGTTCTGGTATCTTATTTTTTCCCTTTCCCTTTATCGTGTGTGTGTGTGTACACAAGTTAACCTATAACCTTACTGTTCTAGTAATAGGTTCATGGAGACTAGTCCACCATTCTGTGATAACTCTTTAAAGACTTCGAGGCTTGATGGACTTTTTATGAGAAATGATACTAAAAATAAATACTGTGAATTATGGAAAGTTAGGGTTTTTAGGATCTTCAGAGAGAATGTGATTACAAGATAAGGAAGTCTAGTGGCAGTATTCACTAGGATTTCTGCTCAAGGATTTAACCAGTTTTCCTATTTCTTCACTTCTGAGGATAAATCGTATATGTTAAGGGCAGTTGCATCTCTTTCATGTGTGGAATGAAGGAGATTCCTAGGTAGTCTTAACTATGATTGAAAGGGCCGTAGGAATGCTTTTCTACCCTTTAAGAACCTGTATTCCATAACAAAGAAAATAGCTGTTTGCATCAAATGCCGACTATCATGGATGAGTTGACAGGATAAAACTACAGCTCTACCCCGATATAACACGACCCGATATAACATGAATTCGGATATAATGCGGTAAAGCAGCGCTCCGGGGGGGCGGGGCTGTGCACTCCGGTGGATCAAAGCAAGTTCGATAGAACGCGGTTTCACCTATAATGCGGTAAGATTTTTTTTTTTTTTTTGCTCCCGAGGACAGCATTATATTGGGGTAGAGGTGTATTTGAAAAGCAATATGAACAAATGAAAAATGTTCTGTGGTTGATAAAGGTTTTCCCCAGGTGTCTAACCAGAGGAAAGAAGAACTCAGAGCAAAAATGACTGCCAAGATCTACGATTTTTTTCCAAAACATTTTAATAATCCTTTAGTGGGATAGCATACTGCATGATATCCTGTTATGATCACAATTGGGGCTGAAGTAAACTAGTGTGTTCAAAAGTAGAATGAATATTGCCCTTGAAATGAGTGTGAATGTTTAAAAAATAGATTTTTGAGAGGTATATATTCAGTCCGTTGGCTTACAGTAAAGTCTCTTAAACTATCCAACACTTTAAAAAAATTTCACAGAAAACGGAAGTGACAGCAATTATCAATATAAGAATATTAGAAGCACACTGATATTGCATAACAGTAATACAGCAAAAGTGAGAGGGTTTGTCTCAAAAACTAGAACAATTAATGATACACTGCAAAAGCAGTTGTAGACCTTATAAATGTAAGTCCACCTTAATGTACTTTTCATGTTCCAAAAAGAGAGCCAAACTATATAAAACTGATTTGTCCTACTTTTGTCTGTTTTTTGTATACTTAAAGTATCCTTTTCTTATGCCAGATTCTGAAAGGTACTGGAAGAATCTGGCCTTTCCCAATTCTTTGGCAGAAAGACTGTCAGAAATTAAAGGTTCATAATTAAAGTAATTGTTCTTTACTAAGAAGCCTAAAAATAGGACTGTAGACTGCTGTGGAAGGTTTTATCAGCAACATTATGCATTAGTTCTAATATTTGTGCCCTTTTGGACCCTTCTACTGAATATGAATTGAAGTACCTTTTTTCAGTATTCAGCACTTCTATCTGTATTTATAGGATTGTTCCTTCAGAACTGAGACTTAGGCTTGGTCTACACTTACCCCCCAATTCGAACTAAGGTACGCAACTTCAGCTACGTGAATAACGTAGCTGAAGTTCGAAGTACCTTAGTTCAAACTTACCTCGGTCCACACGCGGCAGGCAGGCTCCCCCGTCGACTCCGCGGTACTCCTCTCGTCTAGCTGGAGTACCGCAGTCGACGGCGATCACTTCCTGGTTCGACTTATCGCGTCCAGACAAGACACGATAAGTCGAACCCAGAAGTTCGATTTCCAGCTGCCGAACTAGCGGCTGGGTATAGACGTACCCTAAGTATATTTTAATATTTTTCTTCATAATTTCTATTTTGTTTACACTTTACTGGTGGCAAACTATTTATTTCGGAGTGACAGTCTATTTGTATCAGGTCTCAAGGTATAACAATCAAACTAAATAGGTTATACTTAAACATTCAGCCTGTAGTATGTCTCCATTTTCAGCGCTTCAGCATAA